TCGCATAAATACAAAAAAAAAAATTTTTGTAGGAAATCGCGCGGTTACGTCACGTCCGTAAACACAGTCTGGCGCGTAGGGCTGTGGAAGGGGAAGGGTTTGTAGCTCTGTAGCTCGCCGCCACACTAAATGAGGGTCATTTTGGAAGTAGTTAGCAGTGATTATGGATCGTTCTAAACGGAAAACTTCAACGACCTTCAAGGCGCCACGAACCGCGTTTTAGGTCGTTTTGGTCATCATGATTACACCAAGCAAGCAGTAACGCGCCAACTAAAGTTGCTAGCAAGTGGCAATTTAGAGTTTCAGTCATCAACTGGAAAAAATGTATAGAAACATTCGTTAAGACGCTGCTAGAAATTTTTTACAACAAAACACTGAATTATGCGTGAAATTAAGTAGATAAACTGAAATGGTATTTCCTTGCCAGACGTACTTCAATAATCTTCATTTTAATTATGGCATTTAAATATTTTTATAATTGTGGCGATTGGTAATTACATAGTGTAGTTTTCCCCCCTCAGTAAAAAAAAAAAAAAGTTTAGCCTTATTTGCTTATTGCAACTTTTATTGTTTTCTAATTTGTTTATTAAGGGTGTGTGGTGGGCATCTTTTGCAAGACAAATCCAGTGCGTCTTTGAGAAAGAGAGGAAGACCCCGGAAATCAACATTTGCATCTGCACCACAAACTGAGGTGTGTAGGGTATGTACATTCAGGTAAATTGCGACACTTTTTGCCATTGAGGTGGGAAAGAGTCCCAATTATCAGGAAATAACCTGTAAAAATGAATACTACACCAGTACAATGGCTGGTTTGTTGGGTCAGTCAACCTATGCCAAAGATTACTCATGTTTTTTATGGTAACTCTAGTCAACCTGCTAGATCTTAAACGCATTTGGTTTACACTGCATCTGATACAACATACTAATCTCAAACATAAATTGTCAGAAGATTCTGAGGGATTCACCTCAGCCCAGTTGGGACACTCAGTCAGACACTGAATCCGTGCCTAGTCCAGAAGCCCAGTCCACAAACGTTGAGGTCCTCGGGATCTGCTATGACCTCCCTCCCCTTTGGCCAGATCAACCAGTAAGTGCTCACATATCATGCAAGTTTCTCCACTATTACAGTGCTTTCCAACGCAGCACTTCGTTTGAAATTCATTTCTTTTATTTCTCTTCACAAATTATTCTGCAAATAATTAAGTTCCAATTATAACACTTTTCACAATTTGTTTTGTAGTTATTTTCAGCCATACATGTGCCGTTTTAGAGTTCATAAACTCATTTTAAAGTTTATTTCCTATTTTTGTGTTATTTTTTGCCAGAAATTCAACTAAAGACTAACAAAATGGTCATTCCTATTTTGGTAAAATCTTGTTAAATTAAAGCTAATTGATCTCATTTGACTTTAATTAGGAATTAATTTGATTGAATTTGAATTGCAAACTTGATTCAAAACTGTGAAATTGACAGGCTAATTAGATGAGAAGAGTCCCAATTATCAGGAAATAACCTGTAAAAATGAATACTACACCAGTACAATGGCTGGTTTGTTGGGTCAGTCAACCTATGCCAAAGATTACTCATGTTTTTTTATGGTAACTCTAGTCAACCTGCTAGATCTTAAACGCATTTGGTTTACACTGCATCTGATACAACATACTAATCTCAAACATAAATCGTCATAGAAGATTCTGAGGGATTCACCTCAGCCCAGTTGGGACACTCAGTCAGACACTGAATCCGTGCCTAGTCCAGAAGCCCAGTCCACAAACGTTGAGGTCCTTGGGATCTGCTATGACCTCCCTCCCCTTTGGCCAGATCAACCAGTAAGTGCTCACATATCATGCAAGTTTCTCCACTATTACAGTGCTTTCCAACGCAGAAATTCATTGATCTTATTTTATTTCTCCTCACCAATTATTCTGCAAATAATTAAGCTCCAATTATAACACTTCACAATTTTTGTAGTTATGTTCAGCCATACATGTGCCGTTGTAGAGTTCAAACTCATTTTAAAGTTTTTCCTATTTTTGTCAGAAATTCAACTAAAGACTTACTAACAAAACGGTCATTCCTATTTTGGTAAAATCTTGTTAAATTAAAGCTAATTGATCTCATTTGACTTTAATTAGGAACACTTCGTTTGAAATTCATTTCTTTTATTTCTCTTCACAAATTATTCTGCAAATAATTAAGTTCCAATTATAACACTTTTCACAATTTTTTTTGTAGTTATTTTCAGCCATACATGTGCCGTTTTAGAGTTCATAAACTCATTTTAAAGTTTATTTCCTATTTTTGTGTTATTTTTTGCCAGAAATTCAACTAAAGACTAACAAAATGGTCATTCCTATTTTGGTAAAATCTTGTTAAATTAAAGCTAATTGATCTCATTTGACTTTAATTAGGAATTAATTTGATTGAATTTGAATTGCAAACTTGATTCAAAACTGTGAAATTGACAGGCTAATTAGATGAGCCACATACAAATTTTAAAAAATGATTAACATACAACACCTGTGACTGCTCATCATTGGAAATTGATGTTAAATATCAAGTTTTGGCAACCAAACACAACTGCATTCTGGATTATAACTTTTCATGCATCACCATTTTCTGCCATGTAGGATAAACAAGCACAGCCTGAACGACTAATAGAGGATAGATTTGACCCAGATGTCAGCATGGGTTACACGGAGGAACAAAACAGTATGATGGAGCAGAGTTCATCTTCAAGCACAACTACAGAGGAAGACAGTGCAGTGCACTACGAGGAAAGAAAGGTTGGTCAAAATGGACAGTTGAGTAAAGATCTGACCTATTGGAATTAATGTATGCTGGACACTTGTCAGCCGCCTTTCCTTCAATATTCACTCCAACTCATCCGGGGAAATTAGTCTATGAAAATAAGCATCTAATAAGCCTTCAGATCAAATGTTTTTAGGATCAGCAATTCAGTCAAAAGGAGTCTAAACTGCTCGCTGATTGTTTTCTCTCTTGTAGGATGAATTCGCACAGACTGCCCTGCGATTGGAGGAACGTTTAAACACCATGAGATCTTTGTCTGATGCCGCATCTGATCCCATTTCAATGACAAGAGGAATAGTAAATCAGAAGGAAAGAAAATGGGCGGTCAACAAATCCAGTTTGACAGGACTGTTCAGAACCTGCCATCAGTGTGGAGAGCCGGTTCTGGAATTTAAAACTTTAACATCCGGGAGTCTGATTCGGATTCAGTGGGAATGCTCAAAGGGACATCTCATGTGGCTCTTTCCCAACCACAACCCAACATAACACACACAGACTGAAACCAGACGGGGATGAATGTACAGCAGTGTATCTATATTTATTAAAATGTGAATATAAAAGAAATAAAAGTTTCTACTTTGGAATTACAAAATTGAGGAATTATTTCGTACTTCGACTCAAATAGTTTGACTTGCTCTGGGGGGGGCAGCACTTAAAATGAATCACTCACCCAGTTTGCAGGCCAATCCAAAGTCAATGATCTTGATGAGCGACCCAGCGCTTTTCACACAGACTATGTTCTCCGGCTTCAGGTCGAGGTGGACGATGTGTTTGCTATGGATATACTGGATTCCTTCCAGGATCTGACGCATGTAGTTCACACTGTTGGGTTCTGTGTGCTCGAAGTTCTCATCTACTATCCGTTCAAACAACTCACCACCTGCAATACTGCAATGAGGCAGAACAATTACAGGTTAGAAATGCATGTTGGTTTAATTTTTATACAAAAGTTTTGATTTAAAAGCTTAAAGTGATTCATTTTAACTTTTTTAAATTTTTGGTGGGTAAAAATAACTTCTAGTTAGACCACCTTGAAATTTAAAGGGATCATATGATGTTGCTAAAAAGAACAGTGTATTTGGTGTAATGAAATGCATTTACTTTAAGGTAAAAAAATTATATATATATTTATTTCCCACACACTGTACATTGTTTCTCCTCTATGCCCCGCCTTTCTGAAACGCGTTGATTTTTACAAAGCTCATCAGTCTGAAAAGCAAGGTGTGCTGTGATTGGCCAGCTATCCAGTGTGTTGTGATTGGCCGAATACCTCAAGCGTGTGACAGAAATGTTTCACCCCTTACCATACTGTGACACTGTCAGGCCGGAGCGATGATTCAAAAACATGAAAAGCCATTATAAACGAGGCATTTGTTGCATCCAGAGGGAACATAATTATGGATTATAATGACTTACACTGTCTTTTTACGCGTTGCATCACGCTGCGTAAACATAAAACTGTGTCTGCATTTGTGATCGGAGAAATGACAATTTTTTTTTATATAAGGCATATACATTACTTTTAAATTATAATTCACATTATATTCTAAATGTTAGTACAAAATGTATACACATTTAAAGATTAGCATTTATACATTTTAATTATAGAATTCACATTAAAAAAAAAAATTTAAAATGAAAAAATATTTTAAATAGATATAATTAATTCTGTCTACCTGCAGTGTTCATTTTAATGCAGTCCGACTCCTCACTGGAATCACTGACTCCCGCTGCGTTACAGGCTCGTACTCTGAAGCGATACTGTCCCTGCGGGTCGAGACCAGAGCGGACCCGATACGAGGTGTTCTGACACTGGTTAGTGAGTTCAGCCCAGTCGCCAGGCTCGGTTTGGTCCAGCCTCTGAAACTCCACCATGTAGCCTATGATGGCAGAACCTCCGTCAAAACACGGCCCAGACCAGGACAGAACCAGAGATGAGCGGGTCAGCTGGGACACGAACGGACACGAGGCTGGAGGGTCTGGACGATCTGGGGAGAAATAGAAAGTGAATGAGAAACAAGGTTATTGGGGGGGGAAGAAAAAAAAAGTAATAAATATATATAAATAAATAAATTATACACACTTTTTAATTATTTGTTAATTCAAAAGATGAACACATTGATGAAAAAAAATGACAAGAGAAACTATTAGATGAAAATGAGGGAAAAAAGGTTTAAAATGTACTAAATTACTAAAACAAATTTTTAATAATAAAAAAGAAAAACGCTTCAAAAATAGGATTTAAAAAAATATATATATATTTTTAATACAAAAATATGAAGCCATACAGAAAAAAAAATAAATAAAATATATATATATATATATATATATAAAATACGTGTGTGTTTAATACGACGAGCATAATTTCTGTAATTTACAAACTGAAAATACAAAAAGGCTTGTTCAAAAAATAAATAAAAAGCTCAACAGAAATAATAGAAAAGGCATGACAACCGCAAGGTAAAAAAAAAAAAAAAAAAATTTTAAAAACAAAAACATACATTTGAAAACTATTAAAAATAAATGCATAATTTCTAAATCTAGAATTAAAACTGAAAATGTAAAAAAAAAAAAAAAACCCATTAAAAAATAAAGTTAAAGGGAAATTTAAACCCAA